TGGTTCAAAATTGTCCCAACAGTTGCAGAGCCTTTTTCTCTGGGCAGTGGTGGTCATCGGCCATCTTTGACGCCACTCTTGGATTTCCTGGGGAAGGGCCTAGATGGTCTATTATCTCTGCGAATATTGATTCCTTCGCCACAAATGTCAACTGCCTGCAATGGGATGCTGATGCCTTCATGCTCCAGGAAGCACGTATCGCAGAATCCAATATGGCGGAGGCCCAACGCAAGGCTGCGCTGTGCAATTTTGGCCTCTTCTGCTCACAGCCTCTTCAGAAACTGAAAGCGAGCAATGGTACCTTTCGGATTCCTTCTGGAGGAACTGCAACATGTGCTCACAAGGAACTTACACAGCTCTTCGATGCTTGTTCTGACCTGTCGGGTACATGGGCTATTTTGTGTGCGACAACTCGTGTCACTGCCACCTGGCATCAAGTTACCCCAACAGTTAAGGTCCTTGCCTTCAACTTTTATGCTGTGGCCAATGCAGCATCCGAGCGTGCCAAGTTTGAGAGAAACAATGAACTCCTTGACCAGATTCTGTTGGTGGCTGCTCAGTTTGGGGACGTTCCCGTGCTTATTGCTGGAGACTTCCAAATGGAACCTGGCATGTATCCTGCTGTCCAACTTGCTTTGGATCATTGGGGATGGGCAGATCCACTGTTGCAAACAAATGAAGTTGGGGAGGTGTTCCGGCCTCATACCTTTTTCCAGCAAGCTGCAACAGTTGATGGTGAAGGTCAGTCGTCCATTGATGGCATTTTGATGAATCGTGCCGCATTAGCTGCCCTTGTCCGTATTGAAGTATTAGATCATCGTGATCGTCAGCATCGCCCTGTACAAGCTACTTTTGCTTGGGATCGTATTCAGCAAACTGGTACCATTCTTCAAAAATTTGCCAGGATTGATGTGTCGCAGGTTCCTAAATGTGATGCCTCTGATCAGTTTTGCCCGTACAATCAATCATGTGAGCAACTCTGGTGGCAATATGAAACAAGATTTCAGGCTGAATCTGTGTCGGACTGCAAATGGAGCCTTTTCAATGAATTTGCCATGGATGTGCTGTTGCAGCATGGTGCAAAGTGGGAAAAAGGCCCTCGTGCCAGAGGCCGACTTCCCAAATTTCGGAAGACGCAGTTGGCTACACCTCAAGAGCTCTCTGGAAATCCGTCTTCACCTCGGCTTCTCTTGCTGAGAGCTTGCCTTCGTTCGCTACGGGAGTTGTCATATCGATTTGGTCGACCTTGCACTGGTGAAGCTGATTCTCGAACTTTCTTCTTCACGCAGAAAAAGCTGTTGCGCAGACTCAAAGAAGCATGGCTTGTTCCGATGAATTTGTACCAGGTTTTTGCTTTTGATCTGCCGCATCTGGTTGATCTGACCTTACAGGCCATCACTGAGGAACTCAAGCTGATGAAACAGACTGCAATCCGGAAGTGGCGAGATGCGATGAAGAATGCCACTACCTCGTTGGCAATTGGCAAAGTTGTGTACCAGTATCTTAAGCGTAAAGGCCGTGTTCTTCCTCAAAACTTGGTGGAAGATGATGATGGCAACATTGTCTATGACCCGCAGACGGCAATGGACACTATTGCTGAGAAATGGGACACAGTTTTCTCCGTCAATGCCAGTCATCAACATGAAATGCAGATCTTGAAGCAGGTTTGGCCCTACATTCATGACAAGGGGCATTCTATTGTGTTGGGGCCCATTACGGAGTCTCAACTATGGGAGCAAGCTGCACGCCGTAAACCTGATGCAGCTGCTGGCTTGGATGGGTGGAATACCCGTGAGGTACAGGCTCTTCCTCCTGTAGCTTTTCGACCGGTTGCAGCCTTGTTCAATGCTATTGAGGCGGGCTCTGCTGACTTTCCGACAATTCTTACTCAGGTGAGGATGATCATTTTGAATAAGGATGGCAGTGATGCTCCCTTGTCCAAACGCCTGATTTCGCTGCAGTCTATTTTTACCTTGTTGTACACAGGGCTCCGTTTTCTGCAGCTCCAGATTTGGCAACAACAGGTGATGCCTCCCCAACTTAAAGGAGGCATCAAAGCCAGACAGATGTCTGAAGTACACATGACCTTGCAGCTGGAAATCGACCACGCTCATAGTTTTCAAGGATCCTTTGCAGCACTAAAGCTCGACAAGTCAAAATGCTTCGATCGCTTGATGCCCAAACTTTGCGCTGCTATTATGTTGGCGTTGGGCCTCCCTGCCACACTGGTACGAGGATTCTTGGGCCTTTATACACGTATGACTCGATTCCTCTCCTTTAAACAATGGACGAGAGAGAGAGCGATCTCCATGCCAAATGGTGTTGTGCAAGGCTGCTCCCTCAGTTTGCTTTGCATTAATATCCACATTGCCATTTGGGCCTGGATCATTTGCAAGATAGATGGTGTTGATTTTCGAGCCTTCATAGATGACACTTATCTGTGGACTCGCCAACCCACCATTGATGGGCTTGTCGCTGCAGTACGAGCAACCGAATTATGGGACTCACTTTGTGGACAGTTCCTCAACACGAGCAAGTGTGAAATTTTCGCCACGAGCAGTTCTCTTCGAAAGGCCCTCAAGCAAGCTTTCCCTCAAATGAAATTAGTTGAGGTGGTCAACATCTTGGGTGCCTTTGTCCAAACCACGAAGAAGAATGTTGGCAGTTTCCCTGTTGCCAAGCTTCAGAATGCACTCAGGGACTGTGAGTCCATTCGTGCATTGCCCTGTGACAGCTACAAACGGGCCCAGATTTTGGCAACAAAAGTTCTGCCTCAGATTGCCTTTGCGCCTCAACTGAACTTCATTCCAAAGCGTTTGTTGGCTCGATTGCAGAGTGCTGTGGCGGATGCGCTGTGGCAGGACCGTCCTCGCTGGCGTTCCAAACATCTTTTGCTGTGCATTATACATAAGGCTCATAAATTAGATCCTTTCTTGTGCCGAGCAGTGACAACGATTGTGGAGTCCGTTCGATTCTTGCAGCAATCTCCCTCTGCCCGTCAACAATGGCAACAGCTTTTTGATCAAGATCAACTTACTGCACAAGCGTGGATGACTCAATTCGCTCAGGCTTGTTCCGTTCTTGACATTGAGTGGGCTCACACCTTTGAGTTCTCCGTGTTTGGATCAGCCCCAGTTCACTTCCTTGATTTTTCGGTGAAGGACCTGAAATGTGTGCTCAAGAGTTTGGCTGCCAACAAGTGTTATCAGACAGCTTGTTTGATGCCGCGCAAGGACATCTATACTGCTTCTGGGTTCTTGGACCTTGCCTTGACGCTCTCAGCCAGGAAAAAGTTGGCGAGTGTGCCCAACGACGGCTTTTCTTTCCTTTTTCATTGGGAGAGTGCCTTAGTCGGATGTACACTTACGGCGGACCGCCTGGCAGCAGCTGGTTTAGTTGATCGACCTCACTGTAGGTTTTGTGATGCGCCCAAGGAATCCTTGCAGCACTTTGTTGATGAGTGTGATCATCTTCCGGTTGACTTGAGACAGCCGTCAACCGCCTTTTCCATGGGGCCTAACTTCCCCTTACTTGGCATTGTCGAGCTCCCGTTTGAGACAATCCGGAAGAAACTTGTATGCTCCAGTCCATCACATGTCCAGGTGGCTCAATGGACGGATCCCTTGTCTACAGTTGACCATGTCTGGACGGATGGCTCAGTGCAGCTCACGAAGTATCCTTGGCTTGCATTAGCTGCCTTCGCAGTGGTTGGGTCAAACCAATCGGTGCTTGCAGTTGGAAGTGTCCACCACTGGAGACTATCGAGCTATTCTGCTGAATTATGGGCAATTCTAGTAGCCTTTGCCATGGCTCCGCAACCACTGGTCATACATACTGATTCCCTTACTATTGTCCAGCAGTTCTCGTCGCTCCTTGGCGATGGTGTGGTTCAGCTGGAATGGACACATGCTAATTGGTGGAACTTTCTTTACAACTTGCTCGTCCAGAGGAGGAGTTTTCATGACTCCCCCCTCCAGCTGATCTGGTGTCCTGCACATCTTTTGGAGCACATTCCAAGTTCCTTGATCACGGAAGATGAGGCAGTGAGTGTTGGCTCTTCGCGGCAGGACATTATTCTGAACCGGCTGGCGGACAATGTCGCAAAAAATCACATTCAGAAGGATGCTTGTGACATCAAGGCTGATATTGTCATGAAAGAGGCAGATGTTTTTGCGCGGCAGTTATGGCTTTCCAAATGCAACCGCTTTTGTAAAAAGCCGGCAGCTTGTACTTCATGCTCGGGAGGGACAGTTGCTCAAGTTCATGTGCCTTTCACTGCACGAGAGATGTGCCCTCGATGGCCTTGGGATGTATCACCTGATCTTTACACTTGGCACAGCCAAGTTGATCTGAATGTTTCCTTTCGTGCTTCTCCTTCATTGAGCGAAGCCAATTTCCGGACTTTCCTTCGTTTCTGCAGCACAGTTAAATGGAGAGTAGGAGATGGTTATGCTTGCTCTGTTTTTGAGTTGGCCTTTCTTGCTTTCGTTGAAGGATGGAGATTCCAACAACCGACTGGAACCATTTGTACGCCACAAGCATATGCCACGCTGATTCGTGCAGGCTTGGCCTTTTGCAAAATCAAGCAGATTGTCGTTGCCCCGCTTTTGCTCGATAAGGGCAACAAGAGCAATGGGAAGACATTCCCCAAAGGAGTGTTCTTAGGTGCCGAAGCCTTCCTACCGAACAGTGCTCTTGAGATGCTGGCTCGTGCTTTCGCCAAGGGTGCTAAACCTTCGCCTTCTTCTTGGAACATGCCTTTCGATTCGCTTTTGTAGCTTCGTTGATGTCTAGCTTGTGACCTCCCTGCGGAAAGCATGGTGGTTGCCACTGACCCCGTTGTCTTGGCTGGAGAGCAAAAAAGGAAGCTCCCCCCGACCACCTTTAGGCTTCCTTGAAGAAGCATGAGCTATCCTGCGTCCAGTTACTAGGAGCTTACTCCTTTAATTTCGTAGAAGGCAGGGCCACTGGCTGAACACCTCTTTTGATCTACGGGGCACCGAGTCGATCTGCTGTCGCAGGAAGTCGATGGGCACCCTGACGAGGAAGGCCAGAATGGGAATTGACACTAGTAGCTTCTTGTTACTAGTAGTAAGGCACTTGTTACTAGTAGCGATGCACCTGTTACTAGTTACTAGTAGCGATGCCATGGAACTTGACAAACAAGTGCTTGAGACAACAACTAATTCTGAAGAAAAGGACCTTTTGTGTGTGGAAAAATCAACCTTCAGGTTCAACGTCAATCGTTTGGGTAGTACACCGTGACAGATCTAAGAGACGTGGATCCAGCGATCAGTCCTTGAGATGATGGCTGTTCATTCATTGTTTCTGAACCCTGCAAAAACATGATGAAGGAGAACCTCATCTCTTTTCAAAGAATCTGTCTGCGAAAGGATCATTGACTCACAAGAAACAAGTCCAAATCTTCTGAGCATTCTAAACAGCTTCGCAGTTGCACCTAGAATCTAGAAGCAACATCCCCCTTCCAATTCGCACTCACACCCGGACTGTCAATTCTTTAGGAACCCCCGGGTTCAGTATCCAGAAGTGGCACTAAAAAATCAAGAACATTCTCTAAGGAATCAATAGCCAGATTGCATCTGCTAAAGAATTGGAGACTTGAAGGAAAAGCTCAAAAGGCCTAAAGAATTGACTGTCCGAGTTCGAGTCGAACAAAGTCGACTCATGCGTGTGTTTCTTGATAGATTATCATAGATTATCAAATATTATCATCGTTATTGATCTTCAACTTCAGAGTGAATCCAAATGCGGTTGGACCAAAAGCTGGCAAACTATTGGAAACTTATATAATCCCGATATGTCCTGATACATCCTGACCTGATACCATCTATAAATGATCCTGGTATGGTCTCTGCATCTGTGCATTGAGCCCATTCTAGGATTTGCAAATCTGGCTTTGCAAAAAATCCACCCCATTCTCGAGCTAACGCTCGACAACCAAAGTCTCTAATAAATCAACCCCCTCTTGGCCTCATAGAGAATGGGAACCCCCAGGTTCCAGTTGTAGGGCACTGTATATGTTCATCCGTTTTTCTTTCTTAATGACAACCCGGGTTGTCAGGAAATTCGCACAGGGATGAAGCAACGAAGCATATGCTCAGCAAATTTGCTTTGCCCATGGCAATTTCCTAGGTTCGGGGTTGTCCAAATCCACCAGAATATCAAAAATCGCACCTGAAAACCCAGCTTGCCGGGTTTTAAAGAATTCGATCATTCAGGAATTGCGAAACAAGCTGAGTATTAAAAAAGCCAAGGATCGGGAAGATTCCCTGGACGCCATGGGTGTTCTGCGCTGTCAACGCTGTGATTGCTGTGGTACTGAAGGCGCCCAAGGCAGCGCAGCTCTTCAAATCTGCTTGCAGTCCAGCACCACCTGACGGGAATGAGCATGGGCAGTTCCCAGGGTTTTTTACCAAAAAAGAAATAGGGCATGTCTAGATATGGCAAGCTGGTGATCCGTCTGGGTTCTGGCTGGGGAATGATAAGATTGTAGGCTTGGGGAATGATCGACTCTGTTGGACATTCATCTAGTAATCTGGCAGTATGGTACACCCTAGCTTTCCCATTGTCTTATTCTGAAACCTCAAGTCCACAAACGTTCATCTAGAAAGGCGAGCCTCCACTGTCGGAGCCGGCAATGATCAGCACACGTGGAGGAACCACTTGGGCAATCTGCAGCACTGGAAGCGTATCGTCAAAGCCGGACGAGCTCTCTTCAAGCTCAGCCAGGAGCGAATACCTCTGGCACACGGAATGGCCAGCCCACTGGAAAAGGGACCTACTCTATTGCTAGCTAGTACGGTATGGATTTTGATAATCCTTCAGACATTCCCTTGAAGTCCCACAAGGGTTTCTACATGTTTCTACCAGGTTTGACCTCGCTCATGTGGCACTCGGTCATCGGTGCCCGATTCGGTGGATGCGGCTGGTGGTTTCTTACACATGTCTTCTTCAAAAGCATTTGGCTGAATTCCTACTGTAAGTAGTTTGTATGGCAGATAATGGCTTTCGGGATTTGAGCCTGGCATTTTCAGCAGGGTTGGCCTTGGTATATAACTTTTTGTCTGTGCAAGGACTACGATCGGGCTTAGCAAGTACAAGTAAACTGCCTTTGAACTGCTGAAACACTGGCTCGACAACCTAGTCACCCGTGAACTGCAATTGACGGAAGAAATCCTGCACCGCTTTGGCACAGACACAATGACTCATCAACCACACCTGACAAACCAGCAACCCCGCACCCATGTTAGCAGGATTCTCGTCAGTGGTACCTTTGCAGGTCGTGATGCTGGATGCAACAATGTTAAAAACGGAGCGCGAGGCCATAAGATACCATTTGATATAATTCTCACAAAAGTGGCGCTTGATGTCTTCCGTCAACAATGGCACTGTGGGGTGAACGGTGAATCCTAGACCATCGGCAACAACCTCGAAACGATCCAACTGTACGATCAACTTCCAACCCTGTAGCTGTCAGCAATCACACAACAACCGGTCATCACAGCACAAACAAAATACATTTTATCTGCATGTGTTACAGTGTATAAGCTGATTGGGACATGGAAAACAATCTGTTGGGAGCTATCCGATCGTAGTTGCAGGTATACCTTGTTCATCTTTTTAAAGGGGGTAGGCCGAGTAGAGGAGGTAGTAGCTATACAGTAGCTAGGTAGCTAGTAGCTTAAGTAGCTACTACTTAGGACGCAGGATAGCTCACGCTTCTTCAAGGAGTTTCCCCGCCTGAGGGCGGGGTGGAGCTTCCTTGAAGAAGCGCTCGTCCTATTCATTCGGTTCCTAGATATTTAGGGAAACTTAAGGCTGTTTGTTTGGCGCTTTTGACCCTGAGGCAAAACCCCACGGCTTTCCATTTCCATACAGTAAATATGATTCTGTAGTAGATGTAAATGCTTCATACTTGTAATCACATTGTGGATACCCTGGACCACCCAAGAGCCTACCCGCTGTTGCGAGAATTTGAAGTCTTTGCGATTACAAGAAGGTCCAAAAGCGTAGCTGACACGTGTCTCCAGTCTAACGATGCGCTCTCAAAAAGATGGAATCTGAGGAGATCAGCGAAATCCTACCGAATCCCTGAAATTGTTGAAAAAATGTAATCTTAAGACACGCCCAGTTGATCCCAGTTGTGAGTCCAAACTACTCCCGGTGCATCATCTCCACATACGACACCGCCAGTGGAGACTCCGACTCCAAGCACTCGACGCGCTCATCGAAGGCGCGTTGGAGGCGCCAGGAGAGCTGCTCGGAACGCTGAGATGCCAAGAACTCCAACCAACTGTCAGGGACGCTAGGAACAAAGGGCATCGCTACTAGGAGCAAGAAACTACTAGGGGCTCCTGGCCTTACTACTAGGAGCAAGAAGCTACTAGGGTGGAGGCCATGTCAATTGCTACTAGGGATGTACAACTAGGCGTTCCATCAGCCCCCACCAGGCAGTAGTGAGGCCAGTCAAGATTCATCAGAACCCATTTCGATCCTGTATCTTCAATCCTTGGTGACCATAGATTGTCGTGAGCTTTCGTGGATTTCGAATTTGTAGTAGTTTGATTTCTCAGTGGGTTCTTTGCCACCAAGGTCTTTGTTCAACAATTCTTCGTAATGCTTCTGAAAGGAAAGCCAAAGCCTACCCAAACGTTATTTATTGTTTCGGGGAGAATGGCGTGTGGCTGTGACAATGGGGCACTAGACATACTTTGGATCTAGCCCGTCAGCCCGTCTTTGTCTTTTGGGCACTTTGAGGCTATTGATTCCATTTCCATGTTCTGTACAAATGATTTTTCTGTATGCACAGGAAACGATAATCACAGAAAACATGAACTGACCAGCTACCCCACGTGTCATTTCCTTGGAAAATCTGCATGGTGACGATCTGGCATTGGGGCATGTTCAGTGGTCTGTTCAATCAAGTCGTCATCAGTTGAAACGTAGTCACATGATGTCATGTTGCTTAGGTTAGGCATCCGGCACCATTCGTTTGTTCCATCGTTCAATCCGCCTCAAGCTGCTGGCTGACGGTGTGCCACTTCTCGGCAGTTGCAGCAAGATCCGGCTTATCCAGAGTTTTAGCCTAAGGCTGCGCAACAAAAAGAGGTCCTCCAACAAAGTGGCACCCCAAAACTCACCACAAAACCCCAGAAAATTGCCAATACGATCTGTTCGGGGCTTCGGTCTTTACCTGCTGGGGCCACCCTTGTCAACTTGGGAACGAGTTCATAAGAAAGAATGAACTGGACTGTTTAGACTTTAGCCTCTCATCTAGTTTGAGACACACACTCACACATATGGGTGCGTCTCAAGATTAGCGACCTGGAAACACGACTATACAATCCCGTATGAACTGCCTATTGAATGTTGGCCCAGCCCAAAGGCCTCTGGAAAAGAATCCCTCAAAAAACATCCATCGTTGCCTGAGATGATCTTCCCAAACTGCCCAGGCAACTAGGAAGATCAGAAGAATTGATTGGACTTCAATATCAGACAGTGCCAGTGCAAATGGATGCAAATGGGAGAACATGTCCATTGTCTTGAGCCCAACTGTCGTCAGGAAGTGCACATCAAGTCGAAAGAATCTGTTTCAAACGCGATAGTATATAAATTGAACCTGAAAACCCGTCGTGAACAAAGTCTCGGAAACCCATCATCTCAACTCCGAGTCGCCTAAGATGTAGTCCCAAGACCATCACGGTCTCAACTCCTGAGCTCTCCAGCTTCCCCACAGCTTCCACATATGCCTTTTCCGCTGTACCACCTGGTACATCGAACCCATCGTCCAAAATTGCAAGCTCCTCCTCGAAAAAGCACCAACTTGGAGTCATCTGGCAAACATGGCGTACCCAATATACAATTCTACCAGAAGAAAAGCCAACACTCTCCATTTCCATCCATTTCCACAGTTCTCTGTTTGTTGGCTTCACTCCCATTCCTTTAGGCCATCAGTCCTCCAAGTGGAGCGCCACATCTTGGAGCTCTCTTTCACATCGACCCTTTAAGGTCATCAGCGCCCGTGGGGAGTAAATCTGGCTCCGCGGACTCCGGCCGCCAGGGGCGGCGTCCAAAAGCTTCGCGCAGAACGGGCTCAGAAGGCATTGCCGACGCAAGAGCCGCACGCGAGGCAGCTGCCAGAGCTGCTCGGAGGCCATCAAAGTGAAGAAAAGCAGTCGTCCAGGCAGCTATGGAGAAACAAGTCTAACCCCTGAAATATCAAAAACTCGCAGGCGTCACAGGTTCTGATATATATATACATATATAGTGTGTAATTCTTCCATTTACAGGCAGGCTTGGGGTGTAGGTCTTACAAAGGGTCTGGCAAGGGAAGCCGTGAAGCCTGATGGAGGTGGCACAAAGTAGACATCAAGAAAATTCAAGAAAGCTCACTAGCTCGATAGAACAAGAAGCTACTAGGAGCAAGAAGCTACTAGGGGCTCCTGGCCTTTCTACTAGGAGCAAGGACGCTACTACGGGCTCCTGGCATCGCTTCAAGAAAGCTCACTAGCTCGATAGAATTACACCACTTTGAAGTTGGCCGAAACAGGACGGCGTCATGGCGTTCATATTCTAAATGGTTTGTTGTCTTCCGTGGTTTGGTCAGTGTCCTTCCAGTGTGGAAAAAAGCTGCAGCAGGCTGCAGTAGCTCAACACTTGTCCAACACCATGGTTGGTTGGGAGTGAAATTTTATGTTCTGAGTTCAAGAATCCTCGTTGGCTCTCCACAGTGCAGAATTGTCTATAGTCGGAAGGCTTTAGGGCTCAATGTAGTGGTGAGAAATATGGCAAGTATTGGCATATTCCATCCAAGGAGTGTTGCGGATCCCTTCACTCAGATAATATAATCAATACCGGATTCATTGGGCAAGGTGTTGTTGTGTCGGGAGGGAGTATATATGGCTGCTTGATCCTGGACCGGCTCGATACCTTGGCTTACTCAATGATAGCAAACATCGAAAAGAACCCTGCCCTCTCAAAACCAGCAAGGAGTTTGCCATCCTTCGCCCCAAGCCTACCAATTCTTTGGCCTGTGATTTTCGAACCAACCGGCATCAAACGGCCAACCGGAAGAACCTATTACCAGTGTAGAGCACCCCCCAGCATCCACCCGGGTGTCCCATGGTGTCCCACGCGCTTTGCTTCACCTTGCCACATCTCCAGGGCCCAGCAGCGCAACCGTTGTAGCCTGGGATCAATCCGCGACTTCGGGTCGCCATGGGTCGCATGTCGCTACTTCGGGTTGTGGTGGCTTCATGGGTTGTGGGTGTGGGGTTCTCAAAAGTGTTGAAGCAAGAAAAATTGGTTTCATTTGTGGGAGGGAAACAACAAGTTGCTCGTTCTTTTAGTGGCAGTTTGTTTGGCTGTCTTTTCCTGGTTGCAGTGACGCGGTGTAGATGATGGATTGAATAGACTATCATGTGCACTTATATAAGGAACTAAAACACAACAAGTCTTGTTGTTGTTGTCGTGTTCCTTCCATTGGACTTTACGATGACTGCAGCAATAAGCACGACAACGAACTGCTGCTGGACTCAACCTCCAGTTCAACCACCCAACTTTAGCCCTCAGGGTTTGTGCATTGGGAGTCCTCATATTGTTGGTTGGTCATCGTATGGCACCGGATACTTGAGATATCCATGCCAAAGTGACAAAAGAGCTGGTATTCCAATCTCTGGCAATGGGCCCTAACAATCCCCGTGAACGATTCACAAAGGCAATTCTCCATTCTCCGAAGACCCACCTTCCGCAGGGCGTCAGTCTGTTCTTTGGACAACGGCCTGCATCCGGCATGAAACAACAACCACAACAACAACAACAACAAAAACAAGCAACAACAACAACAACAACAACAACAACAACAAGCAACAGCAACAACAACAACAACAACGACGCAGGTACCTTCAGTTCTCCCCACAAGTGCAAAAACGAAACTGCAGTACAAGTACCACCTAAAAACTGCAACTGACTAGTGACTAGTGCTGGTCAAGAAAGTTCTTGTCTTCCGAACGGTAAGTCGCGGCCCATGCATACTTGTTTGTCATTCCTCCTCATCCTGACCGTTTAACCGAGGCCTTCACCTCGGAGACCAAACGTCAAACATTGTCAAAACACTCTCTTGCTTCGCTTCATCATGTCCACACTTGCCACAGTTCAGCCACTGACAATACAATTATATAATGAGGAGTTTATCATGCTGAGACTATGACATGCTTCAAGAACCAATAGGAAACCTTTTGGTCAGGTTCTTTTGTTTATTCTTACTCTACCCCAAATGACAATGGCAGAACTTGTAAAGTTATGCTCCCCAGCAAACTTGCACCCCAACTCCAAATCCAAACAAGAATTACACCAGCATCGACCCCAAACACCAGCCCAGCATCCAGATAAGCCATGGGAGATAAAAGCATACAAAAGGCCAGAAATAATCTTGGCCCAGGATCGTTTCTATGCAAGAAATGAGCACCCCTCACAGCAAAGCTGAATGGGGAAAAAGACACCACCTGGTACGTGATCCCATCCTCTCTAAGCACAAGTCAAGTGCGCGCATGATACAGAACCCTTGACCTTTGTCGAGGTTCCCTCACTCATCTGCGTTCACAAAGTATGTATACAGATCAATGTGGCTGAAATTCCCAAGTGGTGGTTTACTGCTATTGGATCTCCCCAAAAGACAGCTTTGGGCATCAAGTTTTCTGCGGGCAATAGCCGACTTCAACACGATCCTTTCCTCCGGTCCACCCCAACGTGGCGCATCGGCCTTCGGAAGAGCTGGCCCTTCAACTGAAGCACGTCGCAGTTGCTCCAGACCGCCACAAGCTTGTAGCCTCTCAGGTGGGAAGCATGCCAAGCCAAGGAAGCCCTAAAGAGATGGATAAAGTCGTTTTCATCTTCTGCAACTGGTTCTGTTAGGTCTAACTCAACAAAATCCAGGTCACCAGAGTCACCAAAGCTCTTCGGATGCATCTGCCGATGCATTCAACTCCAGGCACCTGTGTAGTTCTTGGCAATATTGCTCCACCACGCCTGGCACGAGGAACAAAGCCCAGGGGTGGACCCTTGTCTTCAACTTCGGCTTTCTGGGTGATTTTGAAAAAATGTATCGATCTCATTTCCATGACTGTGACTGTGACTGCGCCCAAGGAGCAAACGCAAAAGCGCATCGTCATCCAGATGGTGACGACAACCAGAAAGTGAACTATGATCCTTCCAGCCTGGTCCACGTGCAGGCAACTCCCAACACCTCGTCCTCCCACAAAGGAGTGGCCACGGTCCCACATTGGCAGCTCAAGACCTGATGCAAGGTTGTTGTGTCGTCAGTTAGAAACTGGCGTTTCGTTCCCAATACATAGATGCATCTGACTGAAAAGCTAGATTGGAATGTACCATGTGTAGCCCCTTGCCGACTCTCCCTCTGTTGCATGACACCTTCGTGGTCTCCCAGAGGCGGAAGCTGCAGGTCTTTGACCTTGGACAAGAAAGTTGGGCGACTCTCAAGGAAGTTGGGCACTGCGGAGAAGGAGTATCATTTCTCTTGAAAAATCCACTGGACTTTGTTCGGGGCCACCTCCTGACTCCGCTCACTGTAGGTTCCGTCTTTGATTTTGTGAGTGCTGCCAACGAGAGATAAAGGGCACTTTCTCTGGAGGCGCTTGTGCCACCTTCCAACTCCTTCACCGACTGTAAGCACTCCACACACAAATCTCATCAAATCTCCTTATATAGAGACTCACAGACCCACTGCAAAAGTGTTCTGCAGGAACCCAGTTTGTCTGGAGTCTGGATCCCATATCGGTCTGGCCTCGTCTCTCTGGATCCCAACTAGACTAGACTTTCTTCCTTTCCAGCTGCAGCAGCCTAGGCTTAGTCACTTTGTCATGCAAGGGTCTTCAAGTCCAATCCAAGGCACGTCGCGCAGCGTCAGCGTCCGGCAGGGCTCGCCGGTGAGGTGGTGTGGACGCTTTGTCGCTTTACTGAGCTCAGCCTCAGATGCACACAAAGCTGTGACACAGTAAGAAAACACACCTAAAAGCGATGGCCTCCAACCAAAGAGCGATGGCCTCCAACCTAAGAGCGATGGCCTCCAACCTAGGAGCGATGGCCTCCAACC